CTCCTCAAACAACTGGTATAAAGATGAGTGGACCAGGAAGCAGAAGGTGGTTCCAATTCATTGTCTGCCTTAGTGGTCAAATGATTTCTGAGGTCGTTCCATCATCTTTTTAAACCCCTATCCTCAGCCTTGGGCTTCAGCTCTGCTCCTGCTCCCGGCCCACTGAAACTAGAGGCTTTTCTTCACTCAGACAGCTGCTGGCTGCTGAGACTGCCAAGCCCAAGATTAATAAGTAAGAAGGCACTGTCCCGATGTTACCAAACCACACGGCAGGCCATTATTAATTCAAGTCCATTTTAAGTCCCAAGGTCGGCAGAGCATGGCAGGCTGCTGAACAACGACACGGCTACATGCAGGGTCCAAGCGTGCCATAAGCTAGAGACCTTTCCCAAGGCTTCTCCTTATATACAGGAAGCAGACCACATCCCAAAGGCAGCTACTCAGCTGCTTGTGGTAGATCCCACCATGGAACTGATTGCCAGTCTCATCATGGGGAATAACTACCACTACTAGCTGCCCAGCCACTCAACCAGGCCCAGCCAAGTTGACATACAAATTTAACTACCACAGTGCCTATGCAAGCTCAAGCCATATTACTGAAGTGTCTGAATCAGGAACCTCAACGAGGTGGACTGACACAGTGGCTGCAGTTGATGGGCTCAAGCACAGCAAGGATCATGAGGATGGCGCAGGACCAAGCAGCGTTTCGTTCTCTTGTACAGTGAGTCGCTGAGTTGGAGCTGACTCACGGCACCGAACAACAACAAATCAGCAGCCTTAACCACAGCATTATCTACAATCCTTATGTGCATCAAACACCAGTCCTGCAAGAGAGCCCACTCTCCACAAGTCTCAGCTAAAGGGACAACTACTTACAAGTAACACAGCTTGCTCTCTTCCTCTAATTGGCTGGGAGAATTCTAACCTATGTTTCAAGACAAAGATTCTGTTTGGTCACATGAAAATGCCTTAAATAGGCAATGCTATAATTAGCTCTGGCTGAAGTTGCAACTCCCAAAGTCACTACCAGTGTCGTCATCTTTTTTCTTTCTTTAATAAACCCTTTCCTTCTTTTGTCCCAGGACAGGCTTCTTACTCACATGCCCAAAGAAAATTTTCCCTGGCTGGCTGCCATGGGTTTCTCTGCCCATTTCCATTTTAAGTAACTTTTCTTTGACTATTCCAAGCTCTGCAACAAAGGCAGATGTTAAAACTTGCTGGATTATTTATAAAGAAATCTTGACCTAGGCTGCTGGAAGCAAGCAGGAGGATTTGTGCAGTCCCGAGGCCCAGGCTCACCCACCTCCCCCTGACAAGCACTCACAATTAATTACTATGCAAACCCTAGCATCTCAGATTGGTTCTCTGAGTCACAGGAAGCAGCTTCCAAAGCGTGAGGTGTTTCTCAACATCTATTCTCAAGGCAGATGATCCATTTTGAACTGAAGGGCCCCCAAATTCTCTTTTAGCTCTTGCTACTTCGGCAATAGTGGCGAACTTGCTGCTAAGCAGAAAGTTGCAGGTTCCAGCCTATCCCGTGGTACCTTTAAAGAAAGGGCTGGCCATCTACTGAAAAATCCGCTATTGAAAACCCTAGGGAACACAGTTCTGCTCTCCTGACACACATGGGGTTATCGTGAGTTAAAATCAACTAGAACGTAGCTGGTTATTTCTACACAACTAGAGCACTGCTTTGTCTGCAGGTAGCTAATACTGGTACTACTTCAACAGGAAGTGATATGGTAGCACCAGAGGCAGGGTGTCTTCCTGTTGCCCAGTTATTGACAGAAAGGCAGATTCTCTCTCTAATACTTCAAAAATTCACCATAGGACTAACTTGTGCTTCTCTACAAACTAAAAAAAAAAAACAAAACACCAAACTCACTGCCATCAAGTTGAATCCGCCTCATAGCGATCCCTCCTTGGGTTTCTGAGGTGGCATCTCTACGAAAGTAGATTGCCCAGTCTTCCTTCTGAGGGGTGGCTGGTGGGCTAGCCTTTTGATTAGCAGTCACATGCCTTAGGCACTAAGCCACCCGAGCTCCTGTACAGGTATAATAAACTAATAAAATGGATCATTCCTAATCTCTCCTTAAGTGGTATGGTAATGTAGTTTGTCCCAAAGCTGAAAAAGTTATAGGAAGAGTTCATACTAAATCTACAGACCAAAAGAATAAAAAAAATGTTTTATATTATAAAACATGAGTCTATGGTGTGATGGATCACTTTTACGGTCTTTCAACTCTCACCAAATGGTTGGGTGTGGCTATGCAAATAAGGTGTTACGGCCTACCAACTGATTGGATAACTTGTTAATAATGCAAATAAGGTATATGGCACCATTGGGAGTAAAACTCAAACTCATTGCCAACAAGGTGGATCTGACTCATAGTGACCCCTCCTTGGATTTCTAAGGAGGTATCACTACGGAAATAGACTGCCCAACCCTCCTTCCAAGGAGGGGCTGGTGGGTTTGAACAGCCAGCCTTCTGGTTAGCAGTCACCACGCAAATAAGGTGTATGAAACCCTAACGAAAGGACTGGTCATTTTTATCATCCTCGTAAGCTTAAAAGGAGCCATTCCAAGCACAAATGGGAGGGTGTGGGGTGTGGAAAGGATCTTATTACCACCAAGAAGAGATGATAGTGCAATGTGTTTTTTAGACCTGGGCTCCTTACACTCAGAACCTCCTAGACCCAGAAGACACAGAAAGAGAGAGCTGTGACACCAGAGATGGTATAAGATAGTGAGAGGCAGTGGCTGTGGTTGTGGTCGATTCTCCTTACCCCTCGTGAAGAACTGGGAGATAGGCATGAGATGGTGCAGCAGGCTTCCTGGTCCACAGAGTATGGTGGTTACAGTGGGTATGTGACCCACGGAGCAGAAAGCACTGAGCATCTTTGGGCCAAGGCTTGTTGGTTGAGTAGGGTACCCCCAGGCATTTACTGGGGGAGCTAAAGAGCTTTTTAACACTCGCCCGAGTAAGGCAGAGGCCAGGCCTAGGGGCCAAGAGCCAGAGAGAGAGAGCTGCCTACGGGCATTGCTGCCCTGATCAATGATCTGTATCCTGAGTGGAGTCATTACTGATCTTGCATTGTAATTTGCTATTTCTCTAAGAAATTCCATAACTGAGAATGGTCTGTGAGTTCTGTGTGGCCATCATCCACTGCAATGAATTATCGAACCCAGCAGAGAAGTAGAGAGTGCCATGGGGGGACGGCTGGCATCAGAATTAGTGAAAAGGTCGGAGAGAGGAGGTTTGTTTGACCTCTTCCTCATAGGAATCAGGCTTGGGCTGTTGATCTTGATTCTCCTTATCCCTTGTGAAGTTAGAAATCAGCCACCCACATGCCACTATTTCTTTTACAGTCACAGAGTCAAAGATTTAGGGTCAGAGTAACTCCAAGGTGGCAGGTTCCGTTTGGTTAATCAAAAGGCTTCCCCTTTCAACACTGGAAAGAAAAATGATCACTTTCTCCTTATTTGCCCTTAGAACATTGTGACTCCAGCTGCTGTACAAAGTGTGGTATAAACATTAATACACTCCCACAGCCAGATGCCCTCAATGTGAACAGTGGCATATGCCAAGTAGGTAGGTTTATAAAAGCAGATCCATACCCTCCTGATCCCCTAAGTACATACAAGCCCCTGAGTTTAGCCTTGCTATCTTTCCAAGCAATTTCTCTATGGGGAAACATCTAGCTCACACCATTTTGTGTAAAACTTACTTTTTTAAAAAAAAATTAAAGCTTATCACTACATCTTTTGGACTTCACCCAACAAGTCTATCTTGCATAGTGTTACCTTTGGTCTTCCTGGCTGATCCTAAGTAGGTTCATTATCTTGAATGTGGATCCAAGATTTCTTGGACATGAGTTAAAAGCACCTACATACACCCACCCAACCAACAAATTGGTTTAATTCACTGGCGTTTTATCAGAAGAGTTTTTCATACTTGGCCTTAAGTGGCTCTCTAATTATTCTATGTACAAATGGATCAAACCAACAAACTAAGAAGAGAAATACGTTAGCTTTTGGTAGTCCTACTTCAGGTTGTAATCAGGCTAAACTGTGATAAATTAAATACTTGGGGGAGAGCAGCTATAGCTAAAAGGCAGACAGAAACACATACTATAAGAGACAAGGGGAAGAAGCAGCCGGTGCTCCAAGTTCTTACACAAAAAGGACAACACTTCTCTTTCTGGCAGTTCCAGAAATGGCCATTTCTTCACAAACACCCCTGCCCCAGAACAAAACTAACAATCTCCCTCTTTCCTAGAACTTCCACTTTTAGGAAGATTTTCCCCTCAAATTCTTTCATTCCATCTACAGTACAATCCTGCAAGGGATGATGGTCCCATTTTCTGGATAAGTATGGCAAGGGGGTGAGCCTGAAATCACGAGCACTGTCAGTTCTCACCACCCACATTGTCACAGATCTGCCTGAAACCCCAGTTCCCATTTTCTCCCACTCCCACATACTTCTGAGAGGAACCAGCTCACCACCCACGGGTGGCATGGAAACAGAGGGAAGGGAGGTGCTGCTGGAGACATGTGGATGAACCTGTCAATGCAACGGGAGCATCTAGCTTGGCCTTGAAGTCAGGAGGTGAGGAAGGTGGATTCCTGAGACTTGCCCTTCTCACGCTTTGTGGATAGCCAAGACAGGAAGGGATTTTTGCCGATCAGAAGGCTTAGAGGGCACCAACCTATACCCACGAAGAGCCTTTCTCCTTAGCCCAAGCACTCACAGAAGTCAGGAAGGAACTCCATTCCCACCAGGACACAAATGGGCTGTCTGTGTCAGTAAGGGGACACTATCCTTCTGAACATTAGGGGTCCCACCCAGCTCAAGGGGCAGTCCAGCTAGACCTGCCAAGCTCCAAGGTGCTGTCTAAGACGCCTGGTCGTCCCGACCTGTCACCAGGCCCTCCTGGAGATGCCGGAAGGCAGCAATGGGGCCCCTTGTCCGCCCGCGCGGACGGTGCGTGCCACCTACCCGGAGCTCGCCCTCGGTGCGATGCAGTCCCAGGCGCCGAAGCCCCACCGCCAGGTCGTTGACACACAGGCCTCCGTCGCGGTTGACGTCAAGCGTCTGGAAGAGACTCCACAGGCGCAACCGGTGGTCCGGACCCCCGCAGACGGCGCCGCCGCACGGGTCCCCTATAGACGCAGGCGACGAGGCGGAAGACGAGGCGGCGGCGGCGGCGTCCGGCGGCGGAGAAGCCACGCAGCGGCACAACACACTGCTAACCATCGGGCGCGAGGCAGGGGCGACGGGCGCGGGACCGGGGCGACAGGCGAGCAGGCAGAGCGCGGAAGTCACGCCGGGTATTCTCACACCTCGGGCGCGGGATCCCAGATGCCGGCAAGCTGGGGGGAGGGGCTGCTTCCGGGAGCCCCGCCCCGCCGCGCGCTCACTCGCTGACCACGCCCTCGGGCTCGCCGCCGGCCAGTCACAAGCCCGAATGGCGACCGGGGCGGAGCTGGACGCCGGGCGGAGCCTACCTAAGGGCGGCCCACGCGACGCAGGTCTACCGGATCAATGGGGAGGGCGGGGCAATGCTGGCTCAGCCTGGGACCAATTCAAACTGAGGGAATCGTGGATTGGCTGAAGCGGGCCGACGAGAAGAAATCACGCAGCGATAGGTAAAAGTCAATGATTGGCAGGCAGAAGGCCCCGTGTCCAATTTACATTGAGAAACGCTGTTTAGATTGCGGTATCATAAGGCTAGAAGGAGGGCTTGGGTACGGAAAAATCGTAAATCTACTATGGGTAACAGGATTTGTGTGAGCACCAGTTATGAACTGCAGAATTCGCGTCCTTGGGTGGCATTAAAAAATTGGCCAATGGCTCAAGCCCGAATGCACCAAATATCCTCAGGAGGCTAGGTTTTGCTGGTCTAACTCCCTAAACCACCAATAAAATAGCTGATTTTAACGGCTTAATAGTCGTAATACTGATGATTGAATGACAGAATGATTTTCCAATGGACGTGAGCAAGAGCTGGATGGGCGGAGCGATCTGTAGCGACAGACATTCCTTGAGACCAATGATCAGGCTAATTCCATTAAGTAGGCGGGCTTTTTTCTTCATTTGAACGACTAACCAAAAGAACCAGTGATCGACCTGATCTTTGCGCCGCTACCAACCGGCAGGGTGGGTTCCCCTGGAGAAGAGCTGGGAGGCGGGAAGATGGGAAGTGGGCGGATCACCGCATACCCCGGCGGAAGAGGCAGATTCAGGAAGCCATTACGCAGCTGGCTGCCTGTGGCTGGGCCGGTCAGGGCTGGGCCCTACGCACTTTGCGTAGCAAGAGGGGTTACCAAAGGCCTGGTACTTGGCCTTGGGCAAGCCCGGTATATCCCCTGTAGGGGGAGTGGGTGAGGGGCGTGGCTGAGGAAGAAGAGAAAGGAAATTAGGGCGGTTGAGGGAATTATAATTTAGTTTAAAGGAAGGGAGAGGAAAGGCCATGGCCGTCCCAGCCAAGAAGAGGAAGATGAACTTCTCTGAGCGGGAGGTGGAGATCATCGTGGAGGAGCTGGAGCTGAAGAAGCACCTGCTGGTGAACCACTTCAACGCCGGGGTCCCTCTGGCCGCCAAGAGTGCCGCTTGGCACGGAATCCTGAGGAGGGTCAACGCTGTGGCCACCTGCCGAAGGGAGCTGCCCGAGGTCAAGAAGAAGTGGTCTGATCTCAAGACCGAGGTCCGTCGCAAGGTTGCCCAGGTCCGGGCAGCTGTGGAAGGTGGCGAGGCCCCTGGGCCCACTGAGGAGGATGGAGCTGGTGGGCCTGGGACAGGTGGTGGCAGTGGTGGTGCTGGCCCAACTGTAGCCCCTGTACTGCTATCCCCCATGCAGCAACGCATCTGCAACCTGCTGGGCGAGGCCACCATCATCAGCCTGCCCACTACTACAGAGATCCACCCTGTGGCCCTCGGACCCACGGCCACTGCAGCCGCAGCCACGGTCACCCTGACACAGAGTGAGTGACCTCTCCTGCTCAGTTTGGCATACATAAATGGGAAGGGTCAGCAAGAGCTGGGACAACCTGGGGAAGTTTGGCTGCCAAGGGTCAAAGGTCACATGGTCTTGGAAGACCACAGGTCCTTTAAGAGCTTACCAGACATAAGTGATCTTGTTCTCTTTGGGATTTCCTCAGCATGTAGTCTGGACTTCTGATGAGCTGGACAGCTTTCTACTGTGTTTTGCCACCATTTATGTTCATGACTTTATCCTCATTTGCTGAACTGTGTGGTATTTGAAGACAGAGACCATGTCTATATCTCCATAGGAAGTAACACAGGGTGTGGCACATAGTAGGCAGTCAGGACCTATTTGTTGAATGATTGTTGTTGTTGTTATTTGCCGTCTAGTCGGCCCCGACTCATAGTGACCCCCTCCTTGGGTTTCCGAGGCAGTATCACTACGGAAGTAGGATTGCCCATCCTTCCTTCTGAGGAGTGGCTGGTGGGTTTGAACTGCCAGCCTTCTGGTTAGCAGTTAAGTGCCTTAGGCACTATGCTGCCAGAGCTCCTGTTGAATGATTAGATGGAAATAATAATGCCCAAGTGGTACATCATTTCTGGACAAAGGTCATCTGTTTTCAGTGTGTGAACATTCATCAGACACTACTGTGTCCTTGGGGAACTTCATGGTTCCTGCTGATACTCTACTCATTCATTCATCAAACATTAGTACTTATTTTGTGCCAAGCCCTGTGCTGGGCCCTGGGATTACCAAGGTGTTTAAAATAGAGGCAAGTCATATTCTAGTCGGACAGATAAGATACACAAATGAGTAACTGCACTGTCAGTTGGGAAAACATAAGAACTCAGAAGAGAAAGAGGTATTCTAGCTGGAGAATTCCATTGGGGGTGGGGGGAATACAGTTGATGTTGGCTTTGAAGGATGTAGAAGATTAAGCTTCCTCACATGCTGGGAGGCCCAAGCAGCCTACTTAGAATCCTTTCAAAGGTTCTCAGCTATGAACAACAGAATTTGGCTCAGGCTGCATTTTTTATTTCAGATAAACATTTGTGTTGGTGACTCTTTACTTGTTTGAGATGGGCTATGAACTGTATCAACCAGTGAGTCTCTGTGGGACTTGGGAAAATTGGGTATATATGAGTATCATCACCCCCACAGTTGCTGATAGAAAGGTGTCATTTCTCAGTTATATTTAGGTGGGAAAAGGAGGACAAACATTGGTTTGTTACTGTACCAGTTGCTGTTTTGGGATAGGAAGGACCTTTAGGTATCCCAGTGACCAAGGTGATCAGGAAGACAGTGAAACACGTACCAGGCACTTTTGCTGCTCTTGCCCCACTTCTTTTCTGCTTGTCGACAAGGGATGTGGAGATCAAGAAAGCACCAGATGAAGCAGGGCTAGTCTGGCTGCAAAGAGCTTGTGTGGAGTGCCTCACACGAGATGCCTACTGTGGGTCCCACTCTGGGAAGTGTGTTGGCTTTATTAGCTAGAAGCAGCTCAGTGGGATGATAAGGAGCATGTTGGACTCTGATGTCAGGAAGACTTGGTTTGCGTCCTGGCGCTGCTGAATTAGCCGTGTGACGATAAGTAAGTCACTCTATGCATCTGAGTCTGTTCCTCATCTCTGAAAATGGAGATGACGGTAACTACTTCTTGGTGTCATTATGAGGCATCATTGAGCTGAGTATAAAGGGCTTCACTCAGTGCTTGTCACATAGTCCAAAAAAACCAAACTCACTGAGTCCATTCCGACCATAGCTACCCCCTTTGGGTTTCTGAGGCGGTAAATCTTTATGGAAGTAGATTGTCCAGTCTTCCTTCTGCGGAGTGGCTGGTAGGTTTGAACTGCCAACCTTCTGGTTAGTGGTCAAATGCCTTAGGGAATGGTTAAGTTGCTGGCTGCTAACCAAAAGGTTGGTGGTTCAAACCCACTAGCCCTTTTGAGGGAGAGAGAGATGTAGCAATCGGCTTCTGTAAAGATTACAGCTTAGGATGTGAGGCAATTCTACTCTGTCCCAGGGTACCTCTGAGTTGGGATCGATTCAATCGCAATGAGTGTCACATAGTAGGTGCTCTAAAATTGTTGTTGGTATCATTATTAGCATCTTTGCTTTTGTTAGACCTAAGGCTGACTCTTTGCTTACCAAGTAGATTAAGATTCTAATTCGAAATCCCTTGGATTCTAGATTGATACATGAATAGCTATAAAGCCAGGGAGGCCTGAATTCCCCTTTGTCTCTCTCTGTTGTTGTTATGTGCCTTCAAGTCAGACCCGACTCATAGCGACCCCTCCTTGGGTTTCCAAGGCCGTATCACCATGGAAGTAGATTGCCCAACCTTCCTTCTGAGGAGTGGCTGGTGGGTTTGAACCGCCAGCTTTCTGGTTAGCAGTCAAATGCCTTATGCACTATGCTACCAGAGCTCCCTTGTCTCTCTCTAGGACAGAGCTTAATGGCCTTCTCATTCCATGTGTCCAGTTTTACTCCTTCTAGAAAATGACCTGTGTCTGCCTTTGCTCTTTCTTCCCTGCAGTCCCCACTGAAACCACCTATCACACTCTGGAGGAGGGAGTGGTAGAGTATTGCACAGCCGAAGCTCCCCCACCCCTGCCAGCCGAGGCCCCCGTGGAGATGATGACCCAGCACGCAGACACGTCAGTCAAGCCACAAGCACTCAAGAGCCGTATCGCCCTCAACTCAGCCAAGCTGATCCAAGAGCAGCGGGTCACCAATCTACACGTGAAGGAGATCGCCCAGCATCTGGAACAGCAGAATGACCTCCTACAGATGATCCGCCGCTCCCAAGAGGTGCAAGCCTGTGCCCAGGAGCGCCAGGCCCAGGCCATGGAGGGCACCCAGGCAGCTCTGAGCGTCCTCATACAGGTCCTTCGGCCCATGATAAAAGATTTCCGCCGCTATCTGCAGAGCAACACACCAAACCCTGCTCCAGCCTCTGACCCTGGACAGGTGGCCCAGAATGGCCAGCCAGACAGCATTATCCAATGAGGGCAGGGGTCAAGCCAGCTCTCTGTTGTGATTGGATGAAACCTCTGGGGCCTTGTAAGTGGGTTCTGTGATTGGCCTTGGGCTAGGGCCAGCCACATGGACAGCTGCCTTTTGGTGGACGTTTGGGGGCCTGGTGTTTCTGTGAAATGCAGGAGATTGGGAAGAGGAACGTGTTGGGCTTCTGGGACCCAAACTTTCTTAACCCTCTAGCATTTGAGTTGAAATTGCTAAAAATTGGCAGATCAGTTAGCTGGGGAGTCCAAGCCCTGGTGATGGGACATACATATGTTGCCATGAGCCATGGCTGGTGAGATGACCCAGACTTGGTCAAGGACAGCTGTAAGGAAGGCTGTCACTGGAGGTACTCTCACGGCAGGGGTCTGTGCTGAGCCTCTCCACCCCCGCCCCAGGTGCCATCATCTGGAGTAAGACTGTGTCATTGGTGCTGGTAGTAGCATAATATCTTTCTCCCTGTGGAGGCAGAGTGACAGAGGAAACGCTACCCTTTTCTCCTTCTCACTGTGCTTCAGTTCTCAGGGGACTTTAGTTAATGCTGTGTTTTTGCCTCCCACCCCTGGGCATGACAAGAACCTTGTTAGTGCCCTGGGGCGCCTCTGCAATACATCCAGGATGCCAACAGCTATGGCTCGGAAACTTGCCCAGAGCAGCCAGCTGTGCTCAGGGATGCTGAGTGTGGTAGGGACTGGCTTGGCTGCCATCTGGCCTTCCAGAGTCCAGGGCAGCCCGTTGGTGGTTTGTCCCAACATCTCTTGACTCGGGTCAAGCATCAGGCTTTGGGTTGCTGTACGTTTTAGAGAAATGAAAAGTAAACCAGTGTAGTAGCTTGTTCCCCTGTAGTAGGTCTGAAGTGACCTGTGAGCTTTTTACAGAAGGCTTGTCACACACCAATAGTATTTATTCTGTCCACAAACCACTTCTAGGAAGGCCTCTAGGACCTCTGAGTGCAGCTCTGTGGCCATGTCTTCTTCCTTCCCTCTCAATGAATCTCTGTTTCTAAAATTCAGTGCAAAAAAAGCCTGCCTAGTATCACACCCTGGATGCCTCTCCCTTGGCACGTTATGCAGCACCTCATGGCTAGAGTTAACCTGAAGCCAAGTTTGACACTGAATGTAAGAGGTGGGAGAGCTGAAGTGGGACCTTTGAGTTTTGCCCTCCTTCACCTCTTGCTCAGGAAAGAGCAGACAGACCTTGAAATGCTGAAGGAAGTGATGTTCCTCCTTCTGTCTTTAAGCCTAGTTCTCTGAGACAAAACCAATGACATTTGTAAGGCTTTTACCCAGATGACATTTGTTTATTTCACTTTCAGAATTGCCATTGATTACAGAGACTTGTGTCTCCCCAGGTCGTTTCCCAAGTTTGCCCTTTTGCTGCTGGTGCCTTGGCCATACATCACTGATAGTTACAACTCAAGGCTCCAGATCTCAGCTAAACAAGTGCGAGATGCGGTCTGCCTGGACACATGCATTTAGAATTGCACTTTTCAGTATGGCTGAAAAGCAGTAGCTCTGGCAAGCAACTGGGCCCTTTGCTCCCTCCATGGAGCCTGATGGCCTCAGCAGGGTAGCTGCAGGGACTTCTGCAGATTTGCAATTTGTTTTGGTTTTTCTCTGGGGTTGGAAATCTGAGCCAATATTGTATCTGTTGCAAATGGGTAGAAAGAGGAAGCCTGGAGCCCTTGAACTGACTAGTTCTTTCCAGGTCGACATTTTAAATTAAAGAGATGTCACTTTTTTATACACATGTCTGTGTGTCTTTATTGGTTATATAGAAGAGAGGCAGGCTGGCAAAAAGCAGGGACTGTAAGCTGTGGCCCACAGCCAGATTCTAATACACTTTTTATTGCTGTGTTGGTTGAATTGAATGCTTTTAGCATTCCTAAAAGATGGTTTGCATTTTCTCCACTTTGTGGGTGGGGAAACTAAAGCCAAGACTCACCTAATGGCACACCTTTTTGTAAAAGCAGGGCTAGGAGTCTTAATTCAGGTGTATCTCGCTCTGCGGCCTCCTCTTTGTGAGTCAACCTCCCATGAGAGTGTTCGCATGAATCAGCCTTCCAGAGCGGAGGCCTGGACTTTGGACCCGTGTCATGTGTACCAAGAGCCCCACCCAGAGTGGCTGTGCCCCACCTGAGAGCTATGTGGCCCTAGTCAAGTCCCCCATCCTGCTGGGCTGCTGTTTCCCTCCTTTCAGGGCTCAGGAAATAATACAGATAATACGGTATGAGAGAAATGATGTACGCCTGACTCAAGCCATGGCATTTTCAATCTCCTCATATGCTTGCAAAAGCTGAACAATGAATAAAGATTGAAGCAGAATTGATACTTTTGAATTATGGTGTTGGTGAAGAATATTGACTATAGCAGGGATTGCCAGAAGAGTAAACAACCAGAATGTTCCCAAGAGGCTTCCTTTGGACATGGTATCAGGAGGGAGCGGTCCCTGGAGAAGAAAATCATGGTTAGTAGAGAGTCAGCAAAAATGAGGAAGACCCTCAAAGAGATGGATTGACACAGTGGCTGCAACAATGGGTTCGAACATAGCAATGATTGTGAGGATGACTGCTTGAAAAAAAATTTTTAGAAGGATCAGCACACAGCCTGTCCCTATGAGGCAGAGGTTGAAGATGTCCCAAATGTCCAGCTTTTCCAAACTGCTGTGCCACTCCATCACCTCCAACATCGACTCCTCCTCTTCCCCTCAGTACTGTCCTTCCTGTCTTAGGGTTCGGTATTTTGATGTAATGTCTCACAGAACTCACAGACTCCTAAGGAGACGGCTCATGTGGTGGTGGTGGAGGCTGGCAGGCTGGCAGACTGGCAAGTCCCAGGTCTGTGGGTAGGCCTGGAGGATTCCCCCAACTCATGTGGCTGCAGAGGGTGGCAAACCCAAATCTGCGGGTCAGATGACCAGCTGCTGTCTCAAGTCTGGGTGTGAGATTACGCTCAAGACACACCCTACCCTAAACAGGCATAAACAAACAAACAAACAAAAAACCTCACTGCCATTGAGTCGATTCTGACTCATGGTGTCCCTCTTTGGGTTTCTGAGGTAGTAAGTATCTCTACGGAAGTAGATTGTCCAGTCTTCCTTCTGTGGAGTGGCTGGTGGGTTTGAACCACCAACCTTCTGGTTAGCAGTCAAATGCCTTAGGCACTACGCCACCAGAGCTCCTTAAGCAGGCATGGAGACTAGGATTTACAATACATCAGAAAATGGAGGACAACACCAAGCAACGGTAGAAGGGCTACACCAAGTAATTCACTGTGCTCCAATGGCACAGGAGCAGGCCATGTTTGTTCTGTTGTACATAGGGTTGCTATGAAACCGAACTGACTCAAAGGCACCTAACAACAACATAAATGATGCGAGGGGCTGTGTACAGGTGATAAGGAACAAGAGCCCTTCACAGGGCCCGGCCCTGGAAGGTAAAGACTGTGTAAAGGCTGGAGGGGTCCACTTGAGAACAAGCAAATTCTTCCAGGTTTTTCTCTAATCCCAGGGTCATAAACTCAAATGGCTACAGCCCAGGGACACTTAGAGAAGGAATCTCATGCCTGCATCTGCATGAGGCCACCAGATGGAGGCTGAACTCAGCTCCAGGCAATCCTGACACTCAGGAATGTGGGCCCTTCCTGCCAGAACTTCCCTTTTTAAAAAGAATCCAGGAATCTGGGTTCTTTATGGGAAATCCACCAATTTAAACAAAACGAAACAAAAGTTGCCATCAAGTGATTGCAACTCATGACAACCCCATGTGTTGCAACTGTGCTCTGTGGGACTGTCAAGGCTCTGACCTTCAGAAGCAGATTGCTGGATTTGCATTCCAAGGTTTCTCTAGGTGGGTTTGAACTGCCAACCTCTCAGTTAGCACTTGAGCACTTAGCCATTTGTGTCACTCAGGAACTTAAAACATACTGATGATTAAATATTTTTAAACCCTTGTGAGCCAAACCAAACACGTGTGGGCTGGATTCAGCCTCGGTAGTCAGCGTGCAAGCTCCGTCCTGACCCGTTAGGGGCCAGTTTGTACCCCTCTTGGAGGAGCTAGAGCTGGAGGCAGAGGTTGGTGAGCAGGAGGCCTGGGTGCCAGATCCTTTTCCTCCTTGGGCCCCAGTCTTCCCATCCACAACATGGAAAATGGGCCATCCTAGCTGGAGTGGTCACTAGCAGGGACTTCCTCCTTTGCCAAGGCTGGGCATGACTCACTGGGAGGATCTGGGCTGGGCTCTTTGCTTTGCTTGTGGTTGACTCAGTCTTAATACATGTTGGCAGTGATGCTCACATGCCACCCACTTGTCAGGCACAAAGTATAAAGGGAGTCTGGCAGCTGAAAAGCAACCCCACCAAGGCAGAGGGTGATGGAAGCACTTGTTTCTAGACAGGACTCCAACAGGCTCTGTCTAGGTGGGAGGTTGGGCCCAGTGGCCTCTGGCTGGTTTTAGTGCCTGCCCTGTAGATTCCTCCTGGTTGTGGCAAGTTTGTTTTATTTTGGAGATCTGTGAAAATGTCCTGGCAGCAGAGCCATCTGACCTCTAACTTCACAAGGAAGGAGGAGGATCAAGATCAACAGCCCAAGTATGATTCCTAGGAGGCAGAGGGCAGACATGTCTCCACCCTCTCACCTTTTTTACTGATTCTGACACCAACCATCCCTCCCACAGCACTCTCTACTCTGCTAGGTTTGATAACTCATTGCAAGGTCACAAAGAACTCACAGACCATATGATTATGGGCTTTATTAGGTAAGCAATAGATTACAGTTCAGGATCAGAAATAACTCAGGATACAGTTCTATCAAAATAACCTCTTCTCAGCTGTGCCTGCAGGCCAATTTCTCTCTGGCCTTTGGCCCCTTGGCTTGGCCTCTACCCTGCTGAGGCAAGTGTTACAAAGCTCTTTTACCTCTACCAGTAAGTGCCCCAAGGCAGTGCACTCTGCCAGCAAGACTTGGTGGATAGCAAACCTGGCCTCCACCAAGT